ATGTTCTAAATGTGTTAAACTTCCAACGTTATTACTTTTTTAATATAAAATTCTATATTTCTGTGGCTATCCCTCCACTGCAGGAGTAAAAGAACTGGATTTGTTTTAGCGTTCATATGAGCGTCTGAGGATTATTTACAGACATACCTGAAAACAATTCAACTTTATCTGGGGAAAAGGTGTAAATGGAGAAGTTTTGAGACGGTGCTTTGTGGTGCTGTCCACTCCATTACATTCACAGTCATTTCTTATATTCCAGCTCCCCCAACAACATCGATCAATACATCACCATCGCCATCAGCAGCATCACAAACATACAGCTGCTACAGATGAGCACAGCGATGAATCAATGCCTCTTTCAAACAGTCTGCACTGCAGATAGACTGCCCTCCATGAATGTGGGATGTATTACAGAGTGCTGTAGCTGAAGTCATGCAGACTAACACAGTAAATCCACAGCATGTTCTGTGACGACTCCATTTGGTTTTCTCACAATTACATCATCAACTTTGACTTCCAGCTCAGCAGAACAACATTTTTCGCTGCATGTTTGTTTCCATTTGGTGAAAAAATCCTCACAGCAGCACAGTTTTTAATTGGACTTTGTTTGGTAGGTGACGATGTGCTGCTGCCGTCAGTATTGGAATTATTTGTTTTCATTGTGCGAGACCCTCTAATGAAATGTGTTGCAGCAGAAACACAACCAGCAAAAGCAGTAATCTGTAAAAATGTTGTTAAGCAAAGTCTGTCAGTCGACAATCTGTTGCACAGCATCTGCTCAGAGATGCTTCACAAAGAAAGGCCTTGTGCTTGTTGTTTTCATGCCGTACGTTCTTTCCCTGAACTACTTCGTCTCAGAGCGAATGTGTTCAGGCTGCTTGTTGTGAGCTCAGACATTTGACACCAGAGGGCTCACTCACTCAGTTCTGGACACTGTCAAGTGCTGTTTTCTCATTCCTACAAAGGGTGGCGACAAAGTCTTGTCTACATTCACCCACAGACCTTTCTATTCCCTGAGCTTCAACTCAGCTGACATGCTCAGAGATGTGTGGTGCAGGTGGAACGCAAACAATACAGCCAAACCTGAATGTGTGATCCAAGAAGCAAATTCTTTCAGATTCTATTCGTCTTAGTTTGATTTTATTCTCGTTTACAGACGGGTTTTTACTTTCATGTCATTTCTTGTCACCACTAATAGGAAGGAAATGTGATTAAATCTGCTCAGTACTATGAGGGTCACAGCACAGGGCAAAGCCCACACCTTCACTTTGTCTGCATGAAGTGTGATTTCTTCTCGCTGCCCTTTTAAAAACTATTTTTGTGAAAGCTCAGGGACAGATTTTCACAAGTTTGACCCAGCATTTCTAAAATAATCTAGAGATGAAGTTAGCGAGGGTCAGAGGCAAATACAGACAAAAGAATCAGACATTTGCTTGATAAAACAGACTATGATAAACTATTTCAACAATTTGGGAAACATCAACCTTCTTCCAGAGAGTTAGATGATCTGAGGAGGTCTGTGCACTAAAACAGCAGCCAACAGATTGACAACAGGAGAAAACTGCAAGTCAGACTCAGTTAAAACTGAACAAAGACCTCTAAAGTTCCCACAATAGTCCAG